AAGCGGGTCGTCACCCAACTACACGGGAGATTGCAGAGAAGTGAAATGTTTTACATACAGCCAATGAGAAGCATTTAAAACGTGTCGGTTTTTTTAAGAATCTAGGATATTTTGGGTTCCGCACGATTTGAAAGAAATTTATCTGACAAAGGGCATCAGCGCTTGGGAATTATTACTTAAACGCAATAAATTCGATACGTTTTTAAAACGAATCATCACTGAAGACGCGAAGTGGATTGTGTATAACGATCGTGGTGCGCGTCTAATAAGACATCGCAAACCACTTCAAACGCGCCTACCCAACAAAAGAAGATTTCGCTGTCAAGTTGGTGGGATTGGAAAGATCAGGAACCCAACCAATAATTAAAAGGTCTACTGTCAGCAACTGTCAGCAAATTGTGTGCAGTAGTGGAGCAAAAGCGACCAGAATTGGTTAATCGTAAAGATGTCATTTTCCACCAAAACAATGCTAGGCCGCAAAGGTCTTTGGCCACTCGGCAAAAATTGATGGATATTGGTTGGGAATTGATGTTGCATCCACCATATAGCTATGACCCCACGCCATCGGATTACCACTTATTTCGACTCCCGGACACAACACCCTTCCTGATAAAACTTTCAATGATGATGACGCTGTAAAATCTCACTTAACTCTTTGTTTTGGTCGAAAAGGATCAGACTCCCTACGAGCGTGAAATTTTCAAGTTGGCAGAGAGATGACAAAAGGTCATCGTACCTTCAAACTATATTCTAAATAAAAAAAAAAATCTTTTACTTAATTAAACAAATCTGCAATTACTTAGTTGCCAATCCAATAAAAACTGTCAAGTCTCTGCAAGTCTATGTTTCTTGATTTCAATCATTTTTATTTCACTCAAGGAGTTAAAAGGTATATATTTTAGTATCGTTGTATGAGAAAGCCATTTAAAAGTTTCTGAATCTGTCTACAACGTGAATTTATAAGAAAAAATTGCTTTGGGTGGAGTTAAGTTTATATGACGCATTTTTAAACGTAATCCACAACGACATTTATCTTATCAGTAGACTACGACGTATGCTTCATTATAATCTCAACTATAAATTCAATCGGGATCGTTGTGGCTTCGCCTGACACACACAGTTAATGGGCAGTTCTTCAAAAGCGACACACTTTTCATTATTATATGTTTGTAGGAGCAATGCCTTCTAACATATTTATCGCTATATTAAATGACTATTAAATTACTGCACATTCATTAAAGTCTTGAATTTTTTCTGAAAGCATGCTTTTGTCGAAACTAAGCTATTTAGGTCGATTTGGCGTTAATGGTTTCTTCAAATGAAAGATTGATAAATTTTTTCAATTTATATATGTTTGTTTATTTATTTTATTTACGACGCATAACATTCAACTAACATAAATTAACAGCTTATGCTAATTATTATTAATAATTAATACAGAATAAATAAAGAGAAGTAAAGACAACATAAATGATAAAAAAATGAAAGAATGAAATTCATGTGTAAATAAACAAGAGCAAAAAAAAAAAAAGAAAAAAAAAAAAAGAATGCAACTAACACTTCAAAGGTATGTACATATCCAGCGTAAATGTTGTTAGAGGTGCATCCACTTGGCAGCCGATAATAATCAAAAATGTAGTTCAATTTTCCTACGAAAATATCGAGATTGGAAACTAGTCAACAGATGACGTAAGCAAGCGCATTTAAGAGATTTAATGGATACGACATGGAGATGAAGAACAACAACAAATATCATTAAATTTGTTGAAAGGATTCTAAAAGGATTGGAAGGCTCGTAATTATATCTACATTGACTAAGCTTCGAGAAAGTAAAATTCCTAGAAAAACAGTTCGGAGCCTTGAGGTTTATCTACTAAAGGAACGTCGGCGAATCCATAGCGCCATTTATTAACTTAATTAGAAAGAAAATATCGCGAATAAATTTGCTTTTATCAAGCAACGGCATTCGGTTTTCATAAAGAAGCAAAAAGATAAACGGGTTCCAGCGCAAATTGCTAAGGGCGAACAGAAAGAATTGCCTTTGAACAGATCCATCGTTAGAAATGACTTTCATAAGAAAAAGTATCAAGCAAAATTATATAAATATTTTGAATGAGGAATTCGTTATTGTTGAGAAGAACGCTATGGAAAAACGATCGCTAACACCATCCTGCTACAGGTCAAGGAAACTTCTCTATAACATGTTTGAGGAACACATTTGAGTGGCACACCTACGATTTCCTTTTATTGGCTATAACTGTGCATTTGTAGTTAAATTTTTAAACATTTTATGCTTCGTCCTTTTATTTTTAAATTTTATATTATATAGCAATTTAATATTCATTCGAGAAATAATTTTTGAAAGAGTTGTTTACAAACAAATCAATAAATGGTTAAATAAATGTAAAAAAAAAGGCAAAAATTATACTTTATTAGGAGAAGACTCTAAAAGGGAAAAGTAAAACGATTTTAAGAATTTCCAAAAATAAAATATTATTATTTTTTTTTTTTTTTATAACATAAACAAAGAGAAAAATTTCATTTTTCAAAGAGCTAACGAAATATAAAGTGACCAGAATTTTATTGGCAAGAAAGAAACAGATATGGAAACTATGAGTTCTTTTAGTTGCAAACTTGCAAAGCACAAAAAAGGCTAAGTAAATTTTGTTTTTCTAGTAGAATTGCTAGTCATAAAGAAATTTGAGGACCACTTCTCAATTCACTTTTCAATTTCAGATATTTCGCAATTTTCTTTCAAGTCATCATTTCGCTCTTTTCTTACTTTCTTTCATTCATACAAAAAAAAAAAAAAAAACGATGCAAAAATATAAAGAAAACCAAATATCCGTAAGAGAGGAGCGCCATCCTTGAGAAAGGAATGAGTTTGGTCACCTTAACAAGTAATCTGTTAATGGTTGCAAGTTATATCAGTATTCATATTAAATTCTTCGCAAAAGGTAAAGTACACTATTCAAATAAACTCTTTGGATACTTGGAATTAAAAGTAGTTATGATAGTTCTTACAGAAAATACTGCAAACATAAATTCGCATTTACGTATTACAAATTCACAAATGGATATTTGCGTGCATATCGAAATACCGAGTGAGCCAAAAAGACGCGCTAACAAGAAAACTGATACCACAACCACAAAACATGCACATGTAGACACGTTTCCTGCACGTTGCACTTATTGCTTTTAAGGTGATAACTTTGCATAAAGTGCGCCTATTGACACCCCTCAAAATACACACTTGTGTTACAAAACTTGGCAATTCGAAACACTGAACATTGTACGACGATAATTAGAAGAACTTTGGAAAGCTCATTAGGGCGCTGTTGTGATTTTCTTCGCCATGCACAAAAGTTTAAATTAGACGGATAAGTTATAATTGTGATCGCAAAAAAGAATATTAACTAAGCCAGCTCCAACTTTACAAATTTTACGCACACTTCTTGAATAAATTTATTTAAAAATTGAACAACAGTTCTTGGACACCGCTTACTTGACCTTTTCTTTTAAGCGGGGTAAACCATTACCAACCCAAGTCAGCGTGCGACCTTCGTCACACTAAAACCCACTCGACGTCTGACGGAAAATCTCTTGGAACTTCTGTTAAGCAGTACGTCAGGAGAACAGTCTAGGCCTCAACTCACACCCTCTACTATGTTGTTTTATAAGTCTTCATAAGCGCTCTTTTGATCAAAGTTTTGCAGTCATAACATTATTTACGCCTTATGCCAAGTTCCAAATTTCGGACCAGTGCAGTCTAGACACTACTAGATTGTTGTGCGTCACACTTTCTCCTACAACTTGATATATCATCTCTCCCTTGGACTTGGGAACATTGTAGCGCAGATTGACCATTTTGCACACACTCTAGACAATCATGCCCCCTCTTATATAAGCGCTGCAGAAAGCAACCATGGCCACTCAAAATTTACGTTAAATAAAGCTCACACTTCCTTTTCACCCATTCTTTTACAATCTTTGGCAATCAGTCTATAGTTTAATTCACCTGAGGTTGAGATACCTCAGGCTGTTTGCCATGGCCACAGGCTTGTTTGATGTATTAGTTCTTTCTCCTCTTGTGCCAGTCGCCTCGCATGTTACTTTCGAACATCGTGCATGTCTGCTGCTGGCATTACTCCGCTTATGGTGGTTCCTTCAGCGTCGTACGAGATGGTGCAGAAGTCGTTTTTGTTACAATTCTAAACGCTCTTGTTCGCTAAGCTCCAATTTGCTGAACTAAGATATTTGAAAGTAAAAATTAATTATTGTTGCCACATTGTAGTAATCTATGTGCCGCACAAAAAAATAAAAATATATTTCTGCTCATAAACGTATTATTATTACTAATTTAGCCGGAGAACAAATTCGAAGACTAAAGTCTTAAAGCACTAGCATCTAATGTAATCGGTTTTATTAAAAACTCTAGCGGGCCTGAGATTTCAACCTCACTGAGTTGAGACTCTTTGCCCTCATAAACATAGAAAAAAATGTTTATTCAAAATATTTAAATTCGTTATTATTTACCAAAAGGCGTACGCGTTGCGTGCAAGTGGCATTCATTTATAAGTAGCTTGACAGCGAATGTGTTAAAATATCTAATACAATGTTAGCGAATCCAATAGAAGAATATTTTCATATGAACATTTACTTGTGTAAGCTTTCAAATATGAATAAAATAAGAGTATGCACACAAATGAGAAAAACGCATAGCGTCTCATGTCATTTCTAACTCGAAAAAGAATCGTGTCATTGGTGCGTACGTGTTCTTCATTTTCTCTAGTGCACAGGCATCGAGCGACAACAACAATTTTGTATTAGTATAGTAAAACTAGCTTATCTTGGGATATTATAAATTTAAACCTTTTCGAGTCGTATTTACAGTTATTCCAGATGTTGTTACCATTTGAAAAATATCCTCTCAGCTACTATTGCACAAAATTTAAAACAAGTCACATTATTTATTGTAATACTTTTTAATTTAATTTCAGGTAGAATTTTCGAAACGCAGACAACTCCCAATGCGTCTAACCGGGCATTAAAGAGAGCTGTAAACGAAATCCTTAGTCAACCACATTTTTTTGTTTTCTTCTTTTTTTTTATTCGTTTGCTAAGCTGTTAAAGTTATAGAAATTCAAAGCAAGGAAAAAGACAGTGTAAACAAGAAAAAAAAAGAAGAAAAAAAAAAAAGTAGCAAAAGAAAAAAAGAAGGAAGAAAGAAAGCACTGAAAAGGAAATTCACCCCTTACTAGATAACACCATTAAGTCAAGCTCACACTAAAATTAACAACAATGCGAATGAACGCTTCGGTGCTTGCTATTGTGTTCGTGCTCTTCTTGGGGTCAAAACGTTATTTACAGGGTGTACGTGCTTATCCACCCACTGACATGAAGTCACATTCACTTGCGGTACACAATGACGGTGATAATGACGGCGCGATTTATGTTGAACCACAACACAACAAACCGATCTACATACGTCGTCAAACGAAACAAAAAAATGAACGTACTGCTCCTGTTACTAGCTCCGTAACAGTAACGACAAATTCTACTTCATCAATGCCGTCAACAGTGAAAGCCGCACCCGCAACTACAGAGAAACCGCAATTAAAATCTGCTTTTGTATACAGGGCCGAGCTTCCAACTCTACCCGAACGAAAGACTGAGCATCCTATTAACGCAGCAAATACTGTTGGCACTAGTCACAGTAATGTACAAAGCGATAGTGACTTGATGAAAAAAATTATTGGATCTAGGTGAGTAGGATATGGCAAAATGAAATTATAAAAAAAATAAAAAAAAAAAAACCTCAGTTCAATTGCACTCTTTAGATATAATTATTTGTGCATATAAACATGCGAAAAAAAACTATTGCTTGTTTATTTATATGCTTTCACACAACTTTATAATATGCCAATCCATCTACTGCTTTGAATGCTCTTTATGAAAAAAACATATTTAATATATTTTTTATTCCAACTGTAAGTAAGTACTCGATGTTCATATGAATTGAAACGCGAATTGAAATGTTAGTAAAAAACATTTATTTGTTATGTCAATTAATTAACACTACCATTCAATAGTGTTTAAAAAAAAAAACACGTTAATGATAATGAAAACAAAGATATTGTTTTTGTTGCTACGCCCTTTTGCTTGTATTTTTCATTAACACTTTGGTTTCGTTTCTCTTCGACTGTCGAGAAGGTACGGCAAATAATTACGCATATATATATATGGAAGTCTGGAGCAAACACAATACTCTTACTAGTAAAGACTAATAGTGAATGAATTTGAATCAGCTATCTAACCATACCTAAGGCAAAATACCGACAGGACATACGTGGACAAATGTGTCAACCTCAACAGAACCAAATAGCAGAACTTAAGATTTATTCAAACATATGTAGTTGAGTTGAGCAACTAGACAGACCACCTTCTTCCCCCCAAAACAAGTAACATTAACAATGTGATTAGCACTAAAGTGACTGACAGATGCCCGGCAAAATGCAGTCATCATAAATTTATTGAAATGAGTTTCTGCTTGTGTGCCCCCACATATACACGAATAAATAAAGCGATATATGCCTCTAGGCGACTGAATTATGCTCTTCTATTTGCTTGCTATAAATAGGATATGAGAACTGATCCATCTGATGATTTGCCCAGGAATAATTATTTTACTAAATGTGCTAAGACCAACAAAAGCATCAAAAATAAAGTAAATTTATAAACTGGTAAGCATTTGAACTAAAGTAAAATCAATACGAAAATAAATATTGGGAATAAGTCAAGTCAGAGCCAAGCATCAATCGACTTGAAAAAATATCTACAAATATCCATCCATACGTAATAGAAATATGGATATGGAACTCTTACCTGACCAAGCACCTTTAATAAGAAGCTTTACGCACAAGAGTGTGCCTTCGCGCGCCACTCTTTAAATTACCATTCGATTCTAGCAGTGTTTGGCATATCAAACACATACTCCTATGCATGCAGAGATGAATCTTTTTAGCTTGAATATGAATTCCATCAAGTCAACAATATTCTCTGGGGTGATAATGAAATAGCCATACATATAGGCTTAAGTTACAATTAGCATCTTGAATACATCAACCAGCTTCAATTTTCTTCGTTATTTTCAAACAGTTTACTTCATTAATTCATCACTGGTTTTTCTAACTGCACAAGCATTTGTTAAACTATAACTTTTTCGCGTGAAAAGTTGAGTTTTGTTTAAAAATTTTACTTACTTTGCTCAATAGTATACAACGTAGGTTTTGGAAGCCTTGCCACGGAAAGGTTAAACACGGAAGCTTTACTTTCGTTACTTAATACAAACGAAACCGCTGCTCTGAGTGATTTTGCTGCTTCTTCAAAACACTTTTCATTGTGGCAAGATATTTAATCGATTTATTTATTTGTTCATCTATTTGGCTACAGTTTGTGTCACGTTAAGCTTGTGAATAAATTGAAATAAAATCGTTTATTAGTAATTTTATTGCTTTTAATTGCCACACTGTAGCCGCCATATGATAGGAAACGAATTTCTCGCATGCGATAAGTTGAACGCAACAGTAAAGAGATGGAAAGTCGTGATTGAAATAAAAGGTAAAAACTCGGACTACTCCCGTATTTACAATGATCCGAGTGAACCTAGTTACATCTTGAAATTCAACTAACACTAAGAGGAGGAAGAACAAATCATTCGTGATTATGCTAATTAAAATTATTCCTACTAATTTAAAGCAAGCATTCTTAAGCGTTAACTTTATGATGAAAATTACAATTTTATGGAAGAAAATTATTTAAACAATTATTTAATCAATAAAGAATATGTCTTAAGTTCATCACAGCTGTTGAGAACTAGTGGATTGCGTTAAGAAAGAAAAGATGCGACTAAAGTAGAGGAAATTTTTTAAAATTTTACTTTAAGTTTTTACTTAACTTTTTTTATTATAGGAATGCCCCTGAATGGCCCAGTAGGCAAAGAGTCTCGACTAACAACGCAATGGTCGTAAGCTCAAATCTCGTGGCGACGTAGAACACTTTCTGCTTATAGATGAACTCCTTTCGGCGATTAACGTCAGTCTCATCTAATATGCGGACTCGTATCTCCGTCAATCTGACGTAGACATGATTACATAGTGCTCTCCAAATTTTATGAAAGTAAATTTAAAAAAATCTAAGAAGCTTTCATTCTCAAGAAGAGCTCTATTCACTATTAATTTCGTCATTGACTCACGCAAGTTGGAAAAAGTAAATTCGTTTATGGACTTAGGGGTTTCATTCGACGTTAAGCCGCGTTAGGTCATTAAACAGTCGTCTGAGGAGCTTGATGACACTTACGTTACAAAAAGGCTATATATGAGCTTAGCGACAACGCACCCGTTGTGCGTTCCCTCTACCTATAGGCGCATGTAAGTTTAATAGAATTCATTCAAAATCAATTTGCGAACTTTGACCTTAGGAATTTGGACTGGGATCCGTTTGCCTCCTTTTAGATTGCTTTTAGTAGCCTTGCCGTCACTTGAGATTTATCTTCCGTGTTTGGTACTTAATTAAATTAAATAATGCCATTACTTGGGGAGATAAACTTCAATGTCCTCAACCATTTCTTTAGGGACTTTACTTTCTCAAAGCTTAGTCAATGTAAATATAACTGCGACCTTTTCAATCCTTTTAGAGCCCTTTGCAAAAATCTAAATGATATCTGTAGATTAATGTCCATGTCCGATTCATTAAATACTGTCAATTCAACTCTCCTAAATACGAGCACGTTACCTACTTGGAATCTACACTACTCCAATACTACTACTCTACTGCACTAATCTCGATATCTTCATAGGATTCGAAATTTGAACTGCATTTCTCATTCTTATCGGTCGCCTACATGTTACATACTTACAATGGTCTGCCTCTAACATGGATTTACGCTGGCTACGAGTGTGCCTCTACGCTAGATATTCAAGCTTGTTTTTTTTTTTTCTACGTGAATTTTTTTCCTTTCAGTTTTTTTTTCTTAATTTTTTATTATACACTTTTTAAACGTTATTAATAAAACTTAGCAATAGATTTGTTTCTAAAAGCCAATTAAATTCGGCTGTTGATTATGTTATATGTGCTAATTTGATGTGTAAAGAAAATAAAATAAATTAAACACGCCTTCTAGAGTCTCAAGGAACTTCCTTACAATTTGGTTATCTCATTAGACTCTTTTTTCCTCTCCACGTGCCATATATGCAATTTCGTGCTGTTTATTAGTTGTTTTCAATAAACGACTCCAGCGATTATGTGAAATCGGTATTGCTAAACTTACGCGATTAAGACTTCCATTAAATGCTGTTGAGACGAATCTTCGATACTCCATTACTCTGTTCCGTTATCCTTGAGTATATTTTTATAATTCTATCCGTAGTTTCCTTCATATTCAAGGAACAAGTCGAGAAGGGTACGGATCAAACAGCTACTCAGGTTATTTCGAAATCATGAAAACATGTTTCCATCAAAGTTTTTTTCGCTTAGATAGTTTGTTTTATTGCAACCACATATAACTTTGATTTTGTTTAATATATCAAAACTCGAATATTAGCCGATGGAAGAATTCAACTGTAAAATCACTCACTTTTTAAGTCTTCTTAAAGTATTATTTTTTGTTTATCCTAAACTAAGGCTCTTTTCAACATGCATTTAATGCATTATTGAAAAAAAAAAAAAAAAAAAAAAAAAACTCACATAACTATTTTATTTATGTATTATTATATTTTTATATACACATAAGCACTTGAAAATATTTACTCTGCATGAATAGATATCAGTCAACAATTCTTACGTATCACGTATATTGTGTACCTTTATGCATGTGCGCTTAACTAATAAAGTGCGATAATGCACTTAGGATTGTGCATAAGCACGATATGAACATATAAATATATATGTACGTACTTCTGTTTGCAAAATGTGTGAAAGGTACATACACATAATGCATCACTGCTTTTCATATATCTACTCTACAGTTCAAATATGTTGGGCGAAATTGTATTTTGTTATATATGATCGCTTCAAAAGATGAAGTTTTCTTTTTGTATCCATCATTAGAGGATGGGGCTATATTCATTTCATCAAAACGTTTGCAGCGAACCAGTGGAAGCTTCAAAAACCCTATAAACTTTCTACACTCGAGAAGCAAAAAAATCATACACGCCCTACATTTTCACTTTGAACATAAATTGAATTAAATTCAGTTTGCAAACATAAATTAAATTAAACTAAAGTACACGCTCCACCTTGACCCACAAAATCTTTATAGTAGCAATAACATAATAGAAATATCCAAAATCACTTGTTTCAGATAGCGCTGCTTCCGCGACTTTGATTAATTATAAAGGAGTAATAAAACAAGAAAATTGGTAGAAAATATTTATTAATATGAGGTATTCCCTCACCTAGTCTGAATAACAGCTTCCATTTGCAAAATTCTACGGTATCCGATCACATTTGTCCGGGATGAAGATGTGGCGCATCGAGCAAGCTATGCTGTACTGGCGCTTTACAGAGGCGACATGTGGTCTTGCGTTTTCATGGATGAATAAGAAACTTTTTCCGATAAATCTCTCTGCTTCCAGGATATCTTTGATGTAAAGTCGGGCGGTGATCGACCCAAAATTTGCACAAGCCGCCCCGATATGACAAATGTTAAGGCATGAAGCATTGTGCAAACGCTTACTGGGTCTTCGGTAGGCTTTTCCCAGTGCGTCGTTACCATGAAGACACGTCGTTCATTCGTCAGGGCACAGTAATTTTTCCCATCCATCTGTCCAATTCACATGTTTTCGAGCGAACTGCAGGCGTGCGCTGTCAGCCTCCTTCGGCTAGTGTTCTTCTAACTACGAGTGATTTCCACTGCTCTAACCGCCTGGAGCTCCTGCCTGAGTTGAACCGCATCCAATCGGCGTTTTCGTAATGATGTTGTGATAAGTAAACTGTCACAACGGTGTGTTGTAGCACATTGCTGGCCACTTCCTCGCCTAGTACAGTCACCCGTCTCTTGATGTCGCTAGTATACAACTTGAACAGTATGTACACTTAGTTGTCGTTCCATTCCGGATTCTGCGCTGTAGTGTGTTCATTTTCTTTTTCCGAATTATCTCGTATTCGATAAAGCACCTTTCAGATTGCGAATGGATATCGACACGATATGATTTCTAACATCTGGTCTAAAGCTCGAAAACAGCCCTACCTGAAATGAGTGATTTTGGGTATTTCTAATGTGTTATTGCAACCGTAATGATTTTGAACCTGGAGAGTAACCATTAGGTGTTTTTCAAAAGCTAAGTGTGTACTTTAGTTTAATTTAAATTATGTTTACAATCTAAATTTAAGTTCGGATTGAATATGTGGGGAGTACGCGAATTTTTTGCTCTTGAGTGTATGTTGATGATTAATATCTGAATCGATTCAGACATCTTTCTCTGTCCCTGTGTCTATCTGTCTCTCCGTCTATTAATTGCTGATGGGGAGCAAACTGCTGGTATCGGCTTCAAATATGACAAAAACTTTATCCACAGTAGAACATCAACTGGAGTCACCACTATTTTCAAAAGCAAAAGAAAAATGGGTTTTTTGGGTTTTACTCATAAACTATAGCAATAAAAATTTGTGCACTCTATCCTAAGATGAAGTTATGGGTGTAGAAGATTTCGCCATAGCCGAATACAATTTTCTTACTTGTTTTTTTTTTGCAATTATGCTGGAAGATGCGATAGCGCACAACTAGAAGAAAAGAAAAAGTTTTGCATATTCATTCCTGGTCGGTAATCTATTAGCTATCACTCACTGTCTAAAGAAAATAACTCTCAATTGTTTACAGGTAAATAGATTATCTACAAGAAAGCATTTTACACATCGTCAAGTTCATTAATAAACAACAAATTCAAATGCGTTCATTTTGCTAAAAGCTCTAAAAGAAAAATGTTTCAAATAAAATTAGCTTGTAACGCAAAGCTTTGATACATGAAGAGATTATTTGTTTTATCTTCAAAAAATCGCCAAACTTTATACAAACATCAATTTTCGTTATTGAAAAACTAAAATTTCTCGAAACTTTCTCATGTGATTGCTTTTTGTTTATTTTTCAATTTCAGTGTAGTAACCTCTGTATCTGTTGTCTTAAACGGCGATGAACCGGAGTTTACAGATGCTCTAGGGCATAAAGTACCGAAACCGCAGCCGTCTTTACAAGTCGCCAGTCCTATAGATCTACTAAACCCAGATCGTTATGAGTTCTTCACATTCGACGAGAAGGGCGAATTAGTTAAACGTCTAATGACAATGGAACAAATTCAAAGTATTGTAGCTAACGGAGATGGAGATGGTCCTGCAATTATACACGAGGAAGTATTGGAAGATCAGAATCCGGAAAAGAATGTCCAATCCATTCTAAAAAGTGTGCAAAGCGTCCTAGATAAAGAAGTTGAATCGAATAAAAATGCAACAATGAATGTACGACCAGTACTGGATACTCCAGATGTTTCATCAACGTGGTCAATGATATTGCCAGCTATTTTCGGGAACACTGGTGATGACATATTTCCACATCAGAAACCGCAGCAAATTGTAATGACCCCAGATTCTGAAATAATTGAAACATACACTAAATCTTCTGCCAGCACTGCTGTCACCACACGAATCCCCAAGCCAAGCAAAAGAAGGCCAGGCCAAAAACGAAAGCCCACTACTACAACGACTACAACTGAACTTACACCGCAAGTTGTACAAGAAGAACTAGGACCTCATGAATCAGTATACACAGGCATGCAGCAATATCAGGATTTGGCAGCAACGATGCAAAATTTTGACAAAGTTTCGCAGTTCCACGTGCATCCAATTTATCAGAAATTACCTGAAGCGACTATACTGGATGCGGCCTTAATGAGTAGCACAGAACACGCAACACTTGATGAAAGTTTTTCAACTCGACCAGATCAAACCACTACAATTAAAACGACTAATAAGGTTCATAACGCCGCTAGTAGCAAACGACCCTTTATAACCAAGCAGAAAATAAAAAAGAAACCCGTAACAAGCACAACTACGGTAATACCAGAGAGTCTTCCTAAAGACACTGTCACGCAAAAGGACTCTCTAACGACTATTGAGTTGTCCACAAAAACTTCTAATGTCATTAATATTGAGTCTTCGACAACCCCGTTAATTAAGAAGAAAAAGAAAAGACCGACTCGAAAACCAGTTCAACAAACAGAAACCCAGCCTTTAATAGATTACAATCCTAATTCGGTTGAAAAACAACCCAATCAAGATCTCCCACTTATAATTATGTCTTTACCGATTGATTTGCCTGCAGAAAGCCATGAATACCAAGATGTAATGTCCATCAATTCACTCTTATCTAGAATCAATACAACTACAGCTGCCTCCACATATAAGCCATTGCTATCAACTACTTTCCAACTGAAGCCCTCAGTAACGCAGTCGCCTTTAACTATGATTCCTTCTGCACAACAAATAAAAACCACCACTCCGCCACCAGCCAGCACTATTGATTATGATGAATCACCTGTAATCACGGAAGCTTCTAACGTGGCAATACCAGCATATCCTCTACATATCCTTCCCTTAAGCGCTCAGGAATCTGAAGAAACCGATTTAAATCATTCCTTTACTCAAGAGGAGGAAGACCTACATACTTTGGCATCTTTCGATAAAATAATGCAATCATTAACTCAGTCTAACACATTTACTGAAAGTTTAAACAAGTCAGCAGACGCGGCCCAACTTAACAAAACAGACCAAGTCGAAGAAACGGAAGAGATAGATAGCCGAGAAAAGGTTGACTTCAACGAAACAACTTTACCATCTGATATAGTACCCGAAGATGAGGAAAGTCCAGCAGATAATAAATCACAAGAATCCCACTTGATCGCAAACGATTTTGTCACAGACTCGCCGTTAAATGATACGTTTGATGACGTTAATGGCACAACGTTAACGATCCACGAATCCGTTACTGAATTCTCAAAAACAGAAGATGGAGAAATCGAAACTAGTGAAATTCCAAGCAACAATCCTTTCCACAGTGCTATTGAAACTACTGCCGTACAAGATGCAGTTACAGACCGTGTATGGCATAACGCTGAGGCCGCATCCCAAGAAATAACATATAGACCTGACTCAGTGAACAATAATGCAGGATTTACGATTGAATCAGACGAAACCGAAATAACCGATTTTACTGATCAAATATCTACAACTGAAATTTTTAAAGATGTAAAAGCTGAAGACGGAACGTCAACAAACTCACTTTTTTATAAAGTTGAAAATCCCATACCTCAGCATGATTCCATGGTCGTCGATCTTCAACCCGCCCTAAATATGGATGTTGTGAAACCCACAGAACAAATCACTATGTCAGATTTTCAGACACAAGCCGCAACTGTCGCATCTACTTTGGTCGATGGAAGCCATAGCTTAGATCTTAATCTGAAAACAAATTTTAATAGAGATAAAGATGAAATACAAATCTTAATGTCCGACGTATTGCAACAAGTTAACGAGCATGATAACGTAATCAAAAAAAAAACAAATTTTTACAATAATCGTTTGTCGAACATTGCTCAGTTCAATTCTTCGTTCCTTTCTATGCAACCACTTAGGGAAATCTTACAAAACCACACCGCGTCTTACAGTAACGAACACGGTGAAGAGCATAAGCTTAGCGGTTTTTCAAATAATAACAATTCGGCTGATAACCTAACTAACATAGAAAGTCTTGCCTTTAAATCGGAAATTACTGAGGAATACGGTGCAGTTGATGATATCAGTAACACTGAGAGTCCACCAACAGCAATAGAAAACATTTCAATTGAAAAAATCCAAGAAATAGCTATCACAACGACACCACAGATAGACGCAGACAGAACGTCAACCGCTCTCCCGATTATTGATACCAACAAACTCGAAAATTCTTCCCAATCCGACAGTAACGAAGAGGATGTGGAGATCGACGAGGATAAAATGGAGGATGTAATAGTAACCGATTCTACGAAATCAAACGAATTAGTCTCTTCTTTAGTAAATGTAAATGCGTCCGAAATTCACAACCAAAACGGAAGCCAAAGTGGTCAGGGAGACAATGGCGCATCATTTGAGCAAATGAAAAATACGGACTCCGCTACCTTAAGCCACATCGATAATTACTTCAAAGAAGAAAATGCCGCAGCTCCGTTAAGCAGTAGCAACGAAGAAGAAAAAATAATCGACAAGCCAGAAAACTGGAGTTATTTACAACCCGAACATGGCAACCAATCCGATGTTAATGAATCAAACGAGAAAAGAAAATCTGATGTAGACAAGACAAACGATGTACACGAATATATAGAAATAACCAAAGTTGAAACCCCTTTGGACAATATTAAAACGACGGACGATTCAGAAATTTCAGTTAAAATTCATGAGACCACAGAAGCTGTGATGAAATACACCAAAAGTGAAACAGGAACAACTGACCCAATAAGGACATTAGATGTCAATCAACAAGACATTTCTACCGAAAATATCAGTACACATCTTGACAGTCCCGTTGATACACAAGAGAACGCCCATTCACTGGGCAAAGAAACTCTTGAGAGTAATGTGACTGATTCAGCAGAGTTACCAGATCGTCAAACAAACTCTTCCCAGAAAACAACTAACTCTGCTTCCCAAGAGTTCAACTCTTTAACAACAACAACTAACTATGAAATAAGTGAAGAAAACTCTCCAACATTAAATTCGACGAGTTTAGAATCGGAGGGATTTGATGATTCTTTTGATGAAGATCCTTATATAAAATTAGGCGAAACTACGCAGCGATCCACATATACCCCGCAAACATCAACACCAATACCAAATCCGGTAAACTCAGTAGAACGAGAAACGGAATCAATCCCACACAGTGTGAAAGTTTCTCAATCTCTAAGCGACGAAAATCATAGCGATGGGAATCATTCCCTGGAGGCAGTTAACGTTGTTCAGACAGATGTTGCCACTAATCACGATATTGATCGAACTGATGAAAAAAATGATGGCGACCAAGCAGCTAAATCAACTGTGCCAATAACCTCTACCCCGTCTATACCTACTGTTGCATCAACTACTCGCCGTTTAATTACTTTAAAGCCTGTGTCCTATTACAATAAGCAACCTCCATATACCTTATATCAAGAGGGAATAGAATCCCTTTATAACAAATATGTACCACTGGCTCCATATGTTCAGCAATCAACTACAAGTAGAAACCAGACGCACTCAGCTCCAGTGCCATTACAGTCGCGTCCCATGCAGCGGCCACCACAGCTTAGCAATTTAATGGCTATATCCACACAAGCAACTCGCCCGCCCGTTAAATTAGAGCCCTCGCCACTCACCTCAAAAGGTTTGTTGGCCTCCGTTGCCAATCTAGATGAAGATGTTTCTGTCTTTACTCAACTTTGTAATGAACTAGCGTTCAGCTATTGGAAATCGATAACATCTGAAAAAATTAGTTCTGCCAGAAGCTTAGTAATCGCTCCTTTCGCCTTGACATCAATGCTTTCAATGATATTTTTGGGCGCTCGTGGAGGTACTTCCGGAGAAATGAACGACGTCCTCAGACTTGATGATATGGTTTCATTTAACCCTCATTTAATATTTAAAAATATTACCGAATCTGTCGAAAAATCTACAGATAATAATATAGCAACGGCAGCGTTTGTTCGGCAGCTTTACAGTGATCGAGTCAATGGAAAGATTATGCAATTCTTCAAAGAAAAAGTCCAACAACTCTATTCTGGTCACGTAGAAGAAGTCAATTTTCATGTGGTGAACGACATTATACGTCGACGTACCAATCTATTGATGAAACGTCATACCATGGGTAAGGTTCTGGAATATCTGCGAACTAACAGTGTGTGGGTGAATGGTCCATTGGCCACTATTTCGGCTAATCTTTTTCAAACCAATTGCTCAGAAGGATCAACTCAAGATCGTGACGGGGAGATGTTCTTCCAAGTTCATCCTAGTGTAAGGCAACGACGTCTAGTACCAATTCCTGCTGTGCTTTTTAAAAACGGCTTCACAGTTGGCTACGAACCTAACCTAGATGCTACCCTCGTGGCCTTTGGTCGAATACAGGATACACTTAGTGCGATTTACATAATGCCGGGTCATCAAAACACTATTTCTCCTTCGGATAATTTGGAGCGCTTAGAGAAAGAATTAATGCAAACCGCAATTTCGAAAAATGCTTGGAACAAATTATTAACATCGCTTATGGATCGTCCTGGCATGGAAGTTCAACTGCCACGTTTCTCTCATAGGTCTTTTGTGAATGCGACACTCGGTCTGCAGAAAATGGGTTTGAAGGGCCTATTTAAATCTGATTACGCCGATTTGGGTGGTTTGACTGGAGCTTCGAATCGCGATATATATCTTTCTGATATTATACAAATAAATACGTTCAGTACTTGCGGCGAGGAAAGAATTGCCGATCATCATCATGTCGAAATGTATCCAGCACCGCCATTGCGTAAACGTAACAAAAATGTAGATACACAGGATGGCTACGATGTGGATTCTTCTGAGGCAGTTATCGATTTTGGTTCACTTGTCCAGGAGACCGCATTAGGACGAGGTTTCTATGATGATCTGCTCGATCCCAAGTACCTCGAATTGCCTTTGCCGCTAAGGCCTAGGCAAGCACGTGTCCCCGATACTCCAAGATTGCGATTTGATAAACCATTCTTATATTTTTTGCGTCACAATCCAACTGGTATGATAATGTTCATTGGCCGATTTAATCCCAGATTATTGCCATGAAAAGCTATTCGCTAAATCCGCAATTAAATTCAAGCCAAACGAATGAATTCACAGACAAACTATGTAAAAAATATTAAATTTAGTAAATTCTCTAAATCAATGACGTAAATAATACGAACTTATAAAAATCATGTCAATATCATGATGAACATAAATCCTATAAATTGCTTTACCTTAATCACGAATCGCAAACATCGAATGTCATTTTAACGCAAACATAATTTCGCACATTCTCATATCATGCTTTATTGATATTGAGGCAGAGGCCTTTGCGTCTGCGATTCAAGATTGACGTTTAGCATGCGCATCACGTAAAAAGTGAATTAAGTCTATGTTTTTTTTTTTTTTAATATTAATCGACCTGTATACTGTAAAATTTTATTTTTATAAGGAAACGAGTTTTTTTTATTTAACTGAATTATATTTTGATTATATCCAAATATATTTAAAATATTTATTTATTAAAAATAACAACAAATCATATTATGCGTATTTAATATCCTTCACGTTTTATCAAAGATATCTTTGCTTTTACACTAAACTTCAAGGTGTCATGTCAATAAGCGAAAGATAATTTTGGGAACATTCAAGTGAGTATAGTGCCCGTCTTTTATCCCAGCTTGTCTATTGTAGATTATCTTTCGGTTCGTGCACAAATACTAAATAAAATTTTTTTGTGAAACTTCATGGAAATAAAAATATACTTTAGTTCTTACTTAACGTTACGATACGTCCATCAAAGCAATTTATCGTTCTTCGACGGCGCTTTCATAACTTCCGCCAAAATCATGGTTGTTGGTGACTGTTAAACGAATGCTTCAATAATTTTAAAATGAATAGAGTAATAGAAGAATACGGATAGGAGCCAACCTAGTCTTCGCGAATTCCTTGTGGCAAATTACAGAGGATTCGGAGTTTACGGGGAGAACTCTGAGTAAAATAATTTTTGTGAAATCTCTGTTGTCATCAACATAGTATTATGTGACGTTTCAATTAATGCAAATACCAAAGTGAAAAAGTAACAGAGTCCGTTAGTGCAACATTCGAAAATGAAACCAAGAAATCAAATAAGTTAATATCGAATTGTCGCGGATCAATCAATCAAACATCAATAACGACAAGATAGTTATTCCAATACAAGCTCTGAGATTAGAAATAGTAATGCTGAACGCTTCGAAGGTAAACTTATTCTTTTACTTCGTCTTTTGCAAAAATATAAATTATTTCTATTTTTATTCTGATATGTTCGTTTAATTGCTTCCACAAATATGTTCCCTTTGCAAAAATTCTTTTCTATGTTATATTATATTATTACATTATTGCTAAGATAAGGTATGCACACTAAAGAAAATGTATGCTTGCAAACAATTGCTTTCAGTTGCAAAATAAAACAAGCAAGAAAATTAAATTCGGTCGGGATCGAATCTATTGCACCCATTACCGTTTAGCCCAAAAAACGAAAAGAAAAATAAAAGAACAAAATTCTGATGTTTAATAATATGGAGTGGGAGAGGTGAGTTCCAAAACTTTTCCAAATTTGGGGGCGATATCTTCACTTTCGCTAATGGCAGAATGTTTACCGTAAATGTTAAATCTGTCGCAAACAGACAGACGGACAGATGGATAAACGGACAGATGGACATACGGACAGACGAACAGTTGGACAGACGGACATGCTTAAATCTATTTAGGATTTAACGCTGGTGAAGAATACCTTGTGGCGTAGCTGATGCTTCCTTCTGGTCGTCGCAAACGTCTTGACAATATCAACATACCCCTCATCCTTCGGTGATGGGTATAAAAAAAAAAAATTCTAAATTCGAATGCGTGTACATCAACATGATATACACATAGCACAAATATTGCAGAATATCATTCATATCATCAACGGCGTATAATTGTATAAGTTCGCATTGAATAGTGTTATGCTAAAATTCCTGTAGAGCACCATGGAATTGTTAGCGGATTATAAACAGTTCATTCAATAAACGTTTGGGGCAATTTTTGCTTCATTGCTGAGAATGATTTTATATTTCAACGCGTTTCGCGGATTTTTTCCTTTTTTTTTTTTGCTGGTTTTCTTAGGCGATTAAAGGGAACCGTTAATTTTTCAAAAATAAGCTAATTGTTAATGTTTTGACAATTGACGCCTTTCTGCGCATAGAGGATTTTTCGACTTAACTGCTTTTGTTTTGTAAAGTGGATGACTTGCTTTCACAAATTGTCAGCAAACCCTTCACAACACACCGACATTTCCTATCAATGCATTTATTGTTTCGACGTTAGCCGTAGGCACAAAACACATTGATTTGTTGAAAATTTATGAATAGAAAAAAATGTTCAACAAATTCTCATCTCTTAGGATTGTTACTTTGCAAACCTTTCATTTTCACTGGCTATAGGCAGTTGTTTATTTTATATATTATAACTTGTGATTATTGCTAATGTTATTATGCATCCCTGTTTGCTTATGGTCCGTCGAGCGCAATAATTATAATTTTTAAATAATGTTATCACTTCATCTATAATGTATTTATACAACATTATATAATATATTCCTGCGTTCGAAAAATATGGTGAATTTGTCTACAAAGTAAATAGTCTTTGTTTATCCTTTGGAATCAATTTCATTGCCTCCATTGCCTGTACAACTCCCGAATAATATTTCTTGTTAACAGTTTGGGCCGACGGCATAGTGCACTACGGCACTACGATAACCGAAGAAAACTGTTAACATCCTCTTGATTTTTGAGCGAGTTTGAAGCGCTTTTGTCCGTCCGTTAATTGGTTTTTTCCGCTTCGATTCGAAAGATTCGTATGGATCGAGGTTTGCGCCAAGAATAACACCATTAGTGGGGACCGGACATTTTTTTGTTGAGTCCTGAAGGGTGCTATACAGGAGATTCGCTACGACCTCCAAAGCGCAAATAAGCATAATGCTTACTAGACGGACCATTAAGATCGACGAATCGAATCGAATATCCAGGGCAACCCCAGATGGGAAGATGCGGTGGTATATTGGAATTTTGTTCCAATTTTACTACCATTATTAGATAATAAATTTGTGCTTTATATAGCAAAATAGCCCCAGAAAACCATTAAGTCTACATTCCTCGCTGTTATCAGCAGGCATGACTCCTTTTGATTAGCTCGAGTTTCCAGCAATACCTAGTTAAAAAGTCCCGGCGTTCTGTCTACATTCTGGGCATCGACAAGCGTTGCACAATGCTCAATATATCTTCCTTCTCCTTTCTTTATAATCTTTTAAATAACTTGCCTTTCTGACATTTAAATTTCCTGTCGGTTTTTCGGACGTTTCAAAATGTTGCAGCATGCTGAGACTGTTGCAATGCTCGAAAATGTCTTTTTATTAAAGTCGCTTTAGTAAAGACTTTGAGAACAGAACGCGGAAACTGAATGTGCTAGTGGCGGCTTAACTTTTTCTTACCTGTCGAAGTGGGGATCAAATAAAAGGACTTTGTAGCGAACGTAGACTAAAATAATTTATTTTATATAGAGGTCAAAACCATCGAATTTGACCGTTGTGTGCGTTGATACTTCCCATTACTTTGCCGTTTTCACCAATAGATGTCGCTGATGCGTATGAGTATTACATCCTCACGTATACATTATATTTTTTATTGCAGAGTATTTTCTGTCAAACAAGTTTCGCTCCAATATATTAAAATGGGTTTCTTTTTTATTTGAAGTAGACGTTCCTAGGCTAAAATAATTAATTCCTGACGCAACCGCGCAGCTGTCAGTCCACTGATGGAACTAAGACAGTCGACAGCTGCATTGGGCAGCATGCCTGGTTTCGACTTCTGCTCGTCGGATTGGTTGGGTTCTCAACCATTGTCTTGGGAGCGACTTGTTTGCTCGAGGCAAATTTACCGCTGCATTCAAGACTATCGAGTTCTAATCAATTGCTTCGTGGTCAGCAACGTTGGTGTTGATGTGTAATTCCTATAGTAATGCCCCGTTTTGCTAACTTTCTTATCTGCGTCCAACTGTCACGCCTTTACTTTTTTTTCCATCAACTCATTGCAAAAATATCACATACACCAATCAGAAAAAAAAGAACATAAATTCAATTTTTATTTAATGTTTATTTCATATCGTTAAATATCAATTATGCCACAATAGGTGTAAATAACTTATTAGTCATTTACAATCACAGAAATTATTATTTATATAATTAATTACATTACTTACTAATATTTAGATATACAATAGCATTTCTTTAATTGTTTTTTTCCATTTCAATCCGCACCTTGCCAAAGCTAATACTTTTTCATTCGTTGTTGCTGTAAAAAAAAAAAAAATCCCTAATTATATTTTACAAAAGCTTCTTGGATTTACTCTTTGTAACCAGAATTAATACACACCATTACCACACGGCTGAATTTCTTTTTGCTTTTGTACCGTCTGTTAGGCGATCATTGTGTACTGTTCGTTACTGCACATATAATTTTAGGTCCGCATTCTTTAATGAAATGTTTTAATGCATGTAGGAAAAATACAAGCGAGACAAATAAATGAAAATGTGCCACGAACTCGAACTTGTTCTGTTTTTGTTAATGTCGAAATAATGCGAGATTTACACTGTGCGATTGTTTACACGTTTACTAAAGTTAAGCAAACATACTTTTTTTTGCTTGTCTTTCCTTTTCTCGGCACTTAAACTTTTACTATATAGACTGCAAAAATTCTACGTTTTCTTATTGACTGTCGAAACCACAAATTATACTTTCATTATCCAAAAAATGTGAGAAGGTAATTTTTTTTGCCAACACCTCTCAAAACGAGAAAAAGTGATCTTGCTGTTTTCTAAAAAATGCCGGGAACCAAAAAACTTTACTAATTTAAGATGTCGCTGCCTATAAACAGCCGTTCGTAAACGTCATTGCCAGAGCAAAAAATTGCTACAACTTACAGAGAAGAATGCAATTAGTTGTGTTGAATTAACTTTTGGTGGTGAATTAACTTTTTCTTAGCGATCGATGTAAAATAAAAGGCCTTGGAGAGTAAAAAGCGAACTACCAAGGACTAAAACGTATGAAATAACTTTGTGAAAAAACCTTTATCTAAGTGAACTAAACGATGGAAAATGAATTTTAGTCCGCTCAGTTTTATGTGACTACACATAAAAGCTTTAGGCATTTAGTAAAAACTGATGTCTTAAATGAAGTCTTTATGGATTGTTTAACAAGGTTTATCATAGATTTCGAGTTGCAATTACCTGGCCAAAAATATGCATTGTTACGAAAAAAATTATTTCAAATTTGGCGGTAATCATAATTCCAGATAATTCCATTTTCCTCAGGTTAATAATTCTTTTGATTGCATTGAGGTGAATGATATATTTAGA